TAATGAAACTTATTCTGTGCGATGTAGGTTTCTTTGTTCTAAATGTCTTGTAGTTCTTAATTTATGCTGCTTGTATTGGTACAGCGCCATCTCGTTACTTGCTGTTGAAACTTATTGCAGTTCGTCTTGCTATCGATGGCTGTGACGATGCTAGTCTTCTCGCTATCGATTGTTGTGGCGATGTTAGTGCGATGAGTTAGATGTCGCTATGTATCAGTCGCCACAGTACTTTCCCCCTAGACCGAAGGTCGATCCATGTTGATAGTAGGTGGTATGCAGTCAGTGCTTCAGAGCTTTGCAAGTGCCATGGTTGTGACGTCGGGACCGAAGCTGCTGGTGTGCAGGGCTGCCACGCCGGTGAGTTGTGAGTGAACTGAGGTCCGGTCGTGGACTACGAGGACCAAGTCGGGATGATGCCGTCGAGTGGTACCAAGTATCCAGGAAGCGTCGTCGATGCTGCTGTGATGGACCTTGGTGTTGGCTGGCTTGCTGCTGAAGTGGCTGTGCTGGTGAGGGATGCGAGGCTGATGATGAAGGGTGAGAGGCTGTTGATGAAGAGTGATGGCTGCGTTGTGATGCTGAAGGTTGCTGATGATCACGTCGGTTGAAGATCACGTCGGGGTCACCACTTTGGCAACTCTAATCACTTTGGCAACTCTAATCACTTTGGCAACTCTAGTCGGGTCGTAGGCTTGCTTGTCGTTGGGTAGTAAAACTCCGTAGAAGGTGGAAGGATGGAATGTTTTATTTACAAATCTTACAGCTACTTATACTAAAACGTAATATAATATTTACCAATTAAAATTCCTTAAAATTATAAATACAAACTTAACCAATGAGAAATGTACATTTTAAACCAATTGTGAGAAAGCTACAATATTTACAATGGAAGGGGAAAGTGCCGAGAGGAAAGGGAAAGGGACTGAGACGCGGGGCGAGGGAGCGTATGACGTAGCGTATAAAGGCTGGCATAGAGTTAACGAGATCCCTTTTGCCAGGCGTCGGGTGAGCGTGCGGGTGACTACGCTGCGGAAGGTTGACATGTGGCGCGCAGCTGTTGACACGCACTTGTTGCGTTGCTTTCTTCTTTGTTTCATACGGACAGTGACGTTGAAATAGTTCTTTTAAGAGCTCCTTATTTCATTGGCGGATACACAAATAAATTTTCCATTAACTGATGTAGTCTTATTACTGTCTTACTGGTGGTGTAGCCACAAACAGGAATGAAAGAGAATTTAGATCAAAAACGGCCTGCTAAAAAGTGAGGAGCAGCTAGGAAGCTCGGCCAAATATGTGAGGCCGGGCATTTAAAAAAAAACTAATGCTGGAGTTCCTCAGGGGTCTGTTCTCTCCGCAACTCTCTTCCTGTTGCACATTAATGATCTGCTCATACCCGGTATCTATGGGTACGCAGATGACAGCACAGTCGTGGAGAGATACCTGCCTGACGCCCGGGCCAGTAAAGACCAAATACAGTCTGAAAGGGAGGCCATGGTAGCGCATATGAGTCTCACACTTCAGGCAGTCTCCGAATGGGGCGATTCCAACCTTGTGAGATTCAACGCCACCAAAATACAAGCGTGTCTATTCGCCGCCAAACGTTCACCTTGGCTCCTACTCTCCGAAATGTCTCCTTAGAATACACCGACCGCCTTCAGTTATTGGGAGTAGAGATATCCTCTAACCTTAACTTTGGGCGGTTCATTGAGTCCAAAGCTAAAACGGCAGCTAGAAAGCTAGATATCCTAGCGAAGGTCCGGCGGTACTTCACAAGCGCAGGTTTGGTCGTGTGTGGAGTACTGCTGTCACATTTGGGCTGGTACCGCAAAATGCCAGCTTTCGGCATTGGATTCAATGGAGGGCCTGCGAGAAGACTTATTGGTGACTCGAAATTAGTTGAAACCAATCTGCATAGCCTTCAGCACAGGCGCAGAGTTGCTAGCCTCTCGGTATTCTACAGGATACATTTTGTAGAGTGTGCACAGGAATTGCACGACCTAATTCCCCCCTCCCCGTCTACTACCATCGAACGTTTCGATGCACGGCCGGTATCCGTCCTTTCGTCGTCAACATCCTTCCGGTAAGAACGGGGCGATTCGATTCGTCATTCATAATACTTACCGCCAAGGACTGGAATAAATTGCCTGCGTCTGTATTTCCGTCCGATTATAATGAGAATGTCTTCAAATCAAGAGTGAATAGGCTGTTACTAGGTTAATGCGCTATACCACCCAAGGCTTCATCACCACTTACCATCAGGTGGGATCGTAGTCAAGCGTTAACCTATAAAGTATAAAAAAAATTAAATACACGCAGTAGAGCAAATAATAGAGAAATATGAAGAATAGAAGAAAGAACTTTACCTCGCCTTTGTTGATTACGCTAAAGCGTTCGACTTTATCTCACAAACACTAGAGCATACATTGTCTTACTACTTAACAAACAAAGGTATGTATTAATGGCAAGAAAATCCCCATCCTAAAAAATCAGAAGGCTGTTGAGTACGTGGACAGCTGTAATTATCTAGGAAAACAAATATCTTTCAAAAGTTCAAGACATATAGATGAACTAGATAGACGAATTAAAATAACTTGGAAAAAATACTGGACCTTCGAAGAAATAATGAAATCCAAACTTTCAGTTTCCCTTAAGAAAAAAGTTATGGATTCAAGTCTACTACCCTGCCTATCGTATGGAGCCCAAATCTGGATATTCAATCATAAAACAATGTCACAAATTCGTTCGTGCCAGCAGCCAGTATGGAGAGAAGCATGTTTAGTATTAAGATCACAGATAAACAAAATAGCAATAAGATAAGACAAAAAACCCAAGTAATAGATGCATTACAACATACATGACATCTGAAGTGGAGATGGGCCGGACATATAGCCCGCTATTCTAGAGACAAATTACCAAACCGCGTCACCAAATGGCACGGTCGGAGAGGCAAAAGACAGCAAGGCAGACCTAGAGCTCGTTGGAATGACGACATAGTAAAATTAGTGGGAGGGGATTGGATGGTCGGACGGAAACCCATCGTCAGCAACAAACACATACGGCAGATATCTTGAGCTACCTTCGATGTTATCAGGATTTGGAATATTTTTATTAGCTTGGTGTTTTGTAATACTCCTCCTTTGCAGTTGTAGTAATAAGAACCGCTGTCAGCAGGTGGGATTATATCAATGCGTTTTCCGTCTATTGCTCCCAGGCAATGATGAAAATTCCACCTTTCTTCAAAGAGGTTCGCAATTTCTTTCCATTTAGCGGAAGTATCGGGTAACTGAAAAAGACAAATTTAATAAAAATTCCTATACTGGATATATCTGCTTTTAAGTCTCAACGACACAGTGTGGATGAAATTTGGTAAATAAATAGATCAAGTGGATAGATACTTTTTATTACGGTAGGTGTCATCATCGAGTTGGAAGACGCATCAGCATTAGATATAAGTTTATAAATACTTATATAAAAAACCGCAGTTTTACCGGTATATAATCTTTTTTGAGAACTTTGAAATAGCATTACAGGTTTCTGGTATAATTTGCCCTAAAGATTGAGGCGATATCAAGACCGAAAATTTTAGGCACTTGTATGTTTTCCCTGTTGTTAGAAATCGTAAAGTCACTGTTAGCCTCTTGTGTGCAGAGATATCGTTTCTCATAATAGTGTCTTGCTTTTCAATTAGAGGAGTCACTAACATAGAAGTTTTATGTAAGTTTCTTCATTCATTACGATAATCTTCCGGCGTAATCCTAATTCTTTTAATAAATTTACATGAGTAAACTGTTTTCTTTTCAATAACTAGTTTTTGCGTCACTGTGATGGATTTTAACTTTTTTTCTATTTCTTCACCACAGAAATAGACGTTGATAGGCGTTGATAGAGCACTCGTGGTGAAGAAATAGAAAAAAAGTTAAAATCATCATCGTCTGTTACATCATTGGTGACGCCATGGCTTCAACTGAACGTCGCTGCTGATTGAAAAGTTTAAACTGATCGTGTAAATATGAACGAACCGCGAATTGGATCAAGCCTGAATCGTCATACCGTTTGGACGATAGGAAGAATGGTGTGTGGCCAGCATAAATCAATAAAGTGTAAGTTCATTTGTAATGGGCGCGCGGCGGCGTGGCGCAGTACTTGTGCGTCTGTCATAGGTGAGTAATTGTTCCTTTTGACATAGCCATCCGGGCGCTCGTACTTAAGAAGAAACGATCTCTAAATCACTACAATTAGGTGTAAGTACATTTGAATTTACAGCGCGGCGCGCAGCGCCTATGTAAGTGTCGGTCAGTGATTGATATTCATTATATCTAGTAAAATAACTGAAATAAAGTTTTATCAAAATCCTTTCTTAGAGGATGCCTACGTCATAGTTGCTGTATGCATGCAAAATCTCAGCCCGATCGGTTTAAAATTGACAAAGTTTCATACAAACTTCCATCCCTTATTTTAATCCCCTTGGGGGTAGAATTGATCAAAATCCTTTCTTAGCGGATGCCTACGTTATAACATCTACCTGTATGCCAAATTTCAGCCCCATCGTTCCAGTGGTTTGGGCTGGGCGTTGATAGATCACTATGTCAGTCAGTCACCTTTGAGTTATATACAATATATTTTGATGGTATCCATAGACAATGTGTACATAGGCCGGGGGGGAGGAAGCGTGCGAGCAGTGCAACGAGGAATCTAGTTCTAAGGTAAGCCATATCTCCTCTGAATAATCAGTGGAACTCCAGTCAACGCGACGGCGCACGCGCATTACAAATACAACACCTCCACCGCGTATGCCGTCGGCACCCACCCGGTCACGTCGATAAACATCGTAATTCGTGTAGGAACACTCGGAATCACTAAAATCGGGTGTTAACCAGATCTCGGTCAGAACAATCAAAGCGTAATTGTTAAGTAACACATTAGCTAAAAAATCATGGCTTTTAGTGCGTAATCCCCTTACGTTCTAATAATATATTTTAAGTGTATTTAGTTGAGTCATTGTGATATTTTAAGAAACAGACGTAACTAAAACAGTTAGGCGCTACCCTACCCAAATTCTTACAACCCCTATCCTATCCTCATCCTTAATTCCCATCACACTCCCTGTCGTTCCCAATTAGGCAACTTTCAAGTCCAATTTGTTAAGGGAGGTGGCGAAGTGGTATGTGAGCCTCTCCTGTGCTATGACTTACACAGCGGAGCCGTACGCGGGGATGAAGGGGTCCTGGTGTTTGAGCGGAAAAGGTAGCTGTGGCACCCCGGATGCAATACAGCACTTTGGCCTGGATTTCCAGCTAGACGGCAACCACGTAGTCCACCAGCTACGTGGCAACGGTCTTGGCGTCTTCCGTCTCTGGGTCGCCGGCGAGGGCCGTGGAGGTCACTTAACATCTCAGTGACGAAATCCAGCCATGCTGAAGGAGTAAAGTTGCAGGGAACTACTGATAGACTATCACCCTTGTAACTGCAGCTCCCAATGTCGCGCTAGGAGGAAAACTTTGCGTCCCTATATATTTTTAATATCAGCAATCCAATTGTGACTCCGTGGCGGGTGAGACTGACGAGGATGAAAACAACAACTTATGTGGACATAGAAAGCCAAAGACCCCATGATAAAGACCTAGCGAAGAAAGACCTGGTGAAGTGGCAACCCAGTGACAAACAACAATCATGGGACGATGACCTTGACTCCTGGCAGCAGGTTACCAACCGACGTAAACATTGGCAGGGTGAGGACAGGAATAAGACTCAGAACGATGAACCACGACAAAGAAGGACCAAACTCGGACAAAGGGCTAGGAAGGCTCGTAACAGAAAAAGGGCTTAAGAAACAGCTAGTAAGCCAACTGTAACGGGTCACGAGGATAATACCAAAGACAAACAGAGTAGACAGGAAGAACAGACCAACAAACAGCCAACGTCGAAGAGGCCAAGACTGGACGATACGGTCTCCCCAAGGGGAGAGCATAAAAAACCTAGAGCGGAAGAACCGCGTCCAACACCAGCCAAAATTTCATTCACCGATGCGGCCACAGCAGACCTACTGGTGAATTATCACCAGAAAGAAGACCGGACATCTGACCATAGCTCAAGCATCACAGGTGCTTGAAGCCCTAGAAGAAGCCGTAGTGATGGAAACTCTAGAAGCAGGGCCGTCGACAGAGGAAGGACCAAACCTTAAGGGGAAGCCAACTATTGGGGACGAGTTTCTCAGTCAACACCCAACACCGTCAGACACCCAAAACACTGGATTGGGTGAAGAAGACTGTGGCCAATATGAAAATCCCAGGATTGGACGATCTGACAGTACAAAGACAAATTGACAGACCTAAGAGGGTGGTATGTGGTCTACTCGTGCCCGGAACGAGAGCTCCACACATGACCGCGAAGCTGTTACGCCACCAAAACAAATTTGCCGACGTAGATAGATGTATACTGCATAAGGCCATAGAAGGTGACGACAACACGTTCTTTATCTTCAGCACCACCAGGGACGTGGCAGAGAAAATTTTGGCAAGAGGGAGAAGACTGTGTTACCTGATGGGCTCGGTATATGTGGATACTTGTGGATACTCGGTATATGTGGTAGCCGTGGATTGGCCACAGATGATGTTATTCCTACCACTAGTAAGTGGTAAGACATTCTACAACCCAGATAATTGCGCACCGCGGACCCTGTATTGTTTGCTCCTAACATATACAGGCTCAAATAATGACACAATTTTGTTCCAGCGATCTAACAATAATAATAATAAAACAGCAACAAAATCTAAGTGTACCGAATCTAGTGGTGGCCTCTGCCTACATGCCGGAAGGAGCGGAAACACCGCCAAGGGATCTGGATGAACTGGTACGACACTGTGAACAAACAAATAAGGCACTGATCATCAGCACAGACTCCAATGCACACCATCAATTATGGGGCATGAACTAAAGTAACAAACGAGGTGAGGAACTGGTTGATTATTTTTTTACAACTAATCTCAGCCTTCTTAACAAAGGCTCTAAACCTACTTATGTAACAGAAGAGCTAACAGCATACTTGACCTTAAATTAACGATCAAGGAAGCAGCAGCACTGATTTCTGACTGGCAAGTATCGTCAGAAGCCTCTTGTTCCGACCATAGATGGCTCAGGTATTCATTATCGCAATACAAACCAATACAGTTGAACTGAGACGCTTACCAAGGAAGACAAACAAAAGACTATATCTAAAGCAGGTAAATCCTTCATTAAATCTGATAAAAGACAAAAGTTTGAAAGACACGATAGACGAGACAGCTGAAGAAATACTTAGGTAAACAGCCTACTATGCCAGCTGCCCGCTCAACCTACCGTCATCAGACCCTTCTGATGACCATTCTGAACTACAACGACTTAGAAAAGAGGTTAGACGACTATTCAACAGGGCAATACACAAGAAGATGCGAACAAGGTTCTACTGGAAACTTTTCGGGCTGTATAATACAGACGTCGCAAAACTGGGAGGTAACAGATTGGACCCCTACTGAACAATCCTGGGATACCGCACAGAGAACGATGTCTACGTATAAGGTAATATGGGCTATCGACAGCTTCCAGCCGTTTAAGGCTGCTGGGCCAGATGAAAACTTTTTAGCGCTCCTACAATGGGCCAAGGAGGCAGTGACAAGGATTCTGGTTCCTCCACTTAAAGCATGTCTAGCACACAGGTACACTCCAAAATAGGGTATTTGACACTATCGGAAATAAGTTGCATTTTGTTGTCATCCTGATAAATAATAATCTAATACAGCTTATTTCTTAACATCTGCAGAAAAAACATGTTTAGATTTAGTAAAATAAAGTTAAGAAAATGCAATATTTTTAGGAATCAATTCAACGACAAAAACGTTCTATAATTGGTCGTCGTCACAACCAATCACGATTCTGTTTACTGGCCTGTGACGTCATCAGCTGTCATGTCAAAGTAGTGTTAGAAAACTAGATATTTATTTCTGTGGTTAGAAAGATACATAAAATATCGATACCTGTAGGTATCGAGTACTTTATAGAAATTTACTGATAACAGAATACTTTGTCGCTTCTACTGATAAGAACTACCAAAAAGAAATACAGAAAAAGAGAATCATTTACTAAGCGTTTTAAAAAATCAAAGAAATAGGGAAAACGCCAGCAATTAAAAAAAAGAGCAACTTACATGTTTTCTCATTGCTTGAACTTTAATATAATAATTCAAAATTACAAAGTCGATTTTGATGATATATACTGTTCTCCAAGTTAAAAACTAATTTTAAAAAAATTATCAAATGCCATGCATTTAGTGGACAGACATACTACATGCATGTATAAAAAATAGAACATTCTTTTTCGTACTAATGTCTCATCCATCTCTAGGTCGACAGGCTGTAAAGTGCAGGCCCTGTCAACAATTATAAATGAGTCGTAAAATGTTTATGACAAAGAAAAAAAAAACAAAAATAAAACCTTCAAGTGTATCGATATGAAATAAAAAAGTTTCAATACTTTTAGCGAATCCTTACCTAATTTTATCACCCATCTCTACTCTATATAGCTACTATACTATTGTGAATCTATTTTCTTCTAGAATCGAAGTTTGTTTGTTATTTATAGAAGTATTAGTACATTGTGGCACTACGCACCACTTGTAGCTCATTTTTTAAAATAAAACCAGAGCACAGGAAAATAAAAAACGTAAAAAATACGCACTACGACTTTTTTATTTATTTTTTTATTTATTTATTACGACTTCAATTTCTCTTCTAAATTATTATTTCAATTTACTCTAAATACAGTTGTTACTTATCGATTTGCCATATTTACTGGCCTGTGACGTCACAGGCCAGTAAGAGCAGCGTTTTTCGCGCGTTTTTGGCTATTTAAATTTTAACAATTATTTTCACCAAAAATAGAAAAGATTCCAATGAAATATTAAGACAGTGTGTTTATAATGTAGCAAACAACGAGTTAAACTAGTTTTCAGAAAAGTGTCAAATACCCTATTATGGAGAGAATACCTAGCAGGTACTCGGGTTCCTGGAATACAGGTTTCGAGGCATATATATAAGGTCGCTAATGAGACAGGAAAAATCCCAATATCAGTTTAAGGTTAACCTATGGACGGGCATATTAAATGGAAAAGTGATCGGGCCTTTTGAACTACAAGGAAACTTGGATGGTGACAGTTATTTGAACTTTTTACAAAATGATTTGCCAGAATTGCTTGAAGACGTCCCCTTAAGAGATCTACAAAATATGTGGTTTCAAAATGATGGTTGCCCAGCTCACTACGCTCGTCCTGTGAGACAATACTTGGACCAAGAGTATTCCGGGCGTTGGATTGGGCGACTTGGTCCTATCTTATGGCCACCCCGATCACCCGACCTAAACCCCCTGGACTTTTTCTATTGGGTTTGTCTCAAAGACAAAATCTATGAAAAACCCATTACGACATTGGACGAGCTTCGGCAAAAAAATAAATGCTACTGCCTTTCTTGTTGTTTTGCCGTTTCCGTGATTAAGTTGTTATTGTTTTATTTTTATTTTGTTATAGTTTTGTTTTTGTTGTTAAGTTTTGTTAAATATCGACGATGCCGGTGTAGGTCCGAGTGGCCTACAACAATAGGGATGACGACTAATTTTTGTTTGTTTGTCCGTCAGGTAGAGTGTTAAAAAATATTAAACACGTATTTTTTTATTTCTTTCGTAATCATAAAATTACGGCGTTACATTGAGTTGAAATTTCGCATGACGTCACGTTATGGTACGTTTTCTACTAAACTGTGACGTAGCGAGCCCCCACTCCTCAACTTTAATGCCTGTTATCTAAGATATTTCTTGTTAAATTGAAGTAAAAAAAAAATACGTATCTAATATTTGTCTATTATCTGACTGACGGACTAAATAGAATTGCATTTTTTTTACCCAGTCGTCATCCCTATTAACCCTTTACCGCATATGGTATCATATATGATACATTAAGAATTTTCACAGATAAAAAAATATTGAGTCCTTTAGGCGTCTCTTGATGGCTGATATTTGAACCTTGATTGTATCCGAACATGAAAAAAATATTTGCAGGTTGCCACGTTGCCTATGGTTTGTTCAATCTGTCATAGAAAATATGAAACCGCCATTTATGTCAGTGAGCGTCGTTCGTGAACTAAAGTAGTATTGGTGAACCCCAATACTGGGCCGCCAATGTTTCAAATATATTTAAAGTGGATACTATGCATATGCAAACACGTTAAATAAAGATTTTAAGAATTTTATTTATAGTTTGCAAGAACATCAAAATAGAAGCAAGAAAAACAATAGGCATGGACAGCTAATCACAAAAATAAATATTGTGTCAAATAAATCAGAAGAGTAAAATTGTTCTAAAAAAGTATTTTATACATGAGTAAAAACTCCTTGCTCTAACACTCCTCCTCAATTTTATCTCTTTTATTCCATACCTATTCATACAACACTCATATCATACCCATACAACATTCATACAACACCCATACTTGACGTACACCACTCAAACTTACCTTTCAACAAAGGTTTAGTCAAAGAGTCAGCAACCATGCGTTCAGTTTGTACATATTCTAACTCAATATGCCCATGCTCAACTGCTTCCCTTATAAAGTGATGACGTACTGCAATGTGTTTTGTACGCTGATGATGCACAGGATTGTGCGCGATTGCAATGGCTGATTGACTGTCACTGAATATCTTAATTGGCATCTCCTCCTTACCAATTATTTCAGCCACAAATCTTTTTGTAAAATTGCCTCTCTAGCGGCTTCAGACATTGCAATGTATTCCGCTTCAGCTGTTAATAATGCAACGGTCTTCTGCTTTTTGCTTTCCCAGCTGACAGCAGCTCCCATATGCATAAATACTGCTCCTGAATATGACTTCTTATCATAGCAGGAAGCATGACTTGCATCCGCATAACAATGTATTTCATCTGATACACTTCTCTTATACATAAGCCCATAGTATTTGGTTCCTTGAAGATATCTTAGCACACGTTTTGCAGCCACCCAGTGTTCTTCAGCATAATGGCTATTAAACTGGCTTAAATAATTTACAGCGTATGCTATATCTGGTCTTGTACATACAGCCAAATACATTAATGAGCCTATCACATTCCGATAGGGCACGTCAGGATCAGGTCTATGTTCCGGTCCAGGCTTGCTTAGATTTAAACCTGTAACCGCAGGTGTAGCAGCTGGCTTGCAGTCTTCCATTCCAAAGTTCTTCAACACCTTGTTGATATACTTTGATTGATCCACTTTGATCCCTAAATCACTTTGAGTAATCTGCATTCCCAGGATCAGTTCCGCTTTGCCCAAGTCCTTCATGTCAAACTTTGATATAAGATCCCTCTTAACTTTGCGTAGTTCATCTTCATCATTCCAAAAAATTAACATATCATCGACATAAACCGCTAATATGATCACAACGTTTCCTTTAGATCTAGTGTACACGCAAGGTTCATTTTTAGATCTCCTGAACTTTAATAACTCATGATTGAGTTTAGTATTCCACGCTCTTGGAGCTTGTTTTAATCCGTATAATGAACGTTTCAGTAGACAAACATGATCTTCCTTTCCTTTTTCTTCGAATCCTTCCGGTTGTTTCATGTAGACAGTTTCATCAAGTTCCCCATTTAGAAATGCTGTCTTCACGTCCATTTGATCAATGCTTAAACCTTGTTTCACAGCCTGAGCAATAAGTACTCGTAGAGAACTGTGTCTCACTACTGGTGCGAAGGTTTCATCATAATCTACTCCATATCGTTGACTAAATCCTCTTGCAACAAGTCGTGCTTTATATCTGTGTCTATTTCCCGCCTCTTCTTTGATTCTGAATAGCCATTTAGAATCAACGACGTTGGACGACTTTTGCGGCTTTACGAGAGTCCATGTCCCAGTTTTCTTCAGCGCATCAAGCTCCTCCTGAATTGCTTGTTTCCATTTTTCGCTGTATGATCTTGATAGTGCCTCGCGCACTGTCAATGGATCTCGTTCCACTTCAGCTTGATATAAGATGTAGTCAGGGAACTCCTTTTGTTTTCTATCCCTCAGTGGATATCTCCTTTCATTTTCCTGTTGAACATTATCAGGAACGTCAACTGATTCGCAGTCTGCAAATATTTCAGCATCTGGTCCTGCGACTTCAGGTTCTGGTTCCAGGATAATTGGTTCAATATCTGTTACATCACGTTCCTCTATTTCAGATATTGAGCCACCACAATCTCCTTCAGATGTCGGGTT